CAGAGTTCAGGCCCTACGTCTGGACCCAAAAAAAAAAAAAAAGAAGTTGATATATTTCTGGGCTCTGTTGAGTTCCATTGATGTGTTTATCTATCTTAGGCCTAAACCATAGAATTTTAATTATTATAGTTCTATAATGATCTTTTACAACAAATAGCCTAAGTTCTCTGGTTTTATTCTTTTTCAGAGTTATGTTTCAGCTAATCTAGAGCTCTTGCATTTTCATATAGTTTTTTTTTTTGTTGTTGTTTTGCCAGTCCTGGGACTTGAACTCAGAGCTTGGGCACTGTCCCTGAGCTTCTTTTGTTCAAGGCTAGCACTCTACCACTTGAGCCACAACCACCTCTGGCTTTTTCTGTGTATGTGGTGTTGATGAGTCAAACGCAGGGCTTCATGCATGCTAGGCAAGCACTCTACCACTCAGCCACATTCCCAGCCCTTCATATAATTTTGAGAATCAGCTTATCAGTGTCTGTTCAAAAAGAAAGTGGGGGGAGCTGGGAATGTGGCTCAGTGGTAGAGTGCTCACCTCACATGCATGAAGCTCTGGGTTCGGTTCCTTAGTACCACATACACAAAAAAAGCCAGAAGTAGCGCTGTGGTTCAAGTGGTAGAGCGCTAGCCTTGAGACAAAGAAGCTCAGGAACAGAGAGACCCTAGGCCCTGAGTTCAAGCCCCAAGACTGGCAAAAAAAAAAAAAAAAGAAAAGAAAAAAAAAAAGCCTGCTAGAATTGTATTGAATTGACAACATTTTTACACAAATTCTGAGCAAAAAGAGCCATGTTGGAAGTATCACAAGTCCAGACTTCAAATTGTACTGCAGAATTATAATACCAAAAACAGCATGGTACAGACACAAAAACAGATTCAAAGACCAAAAGAATAGAATAGAAAATGTAGAAATTAAACTACATAGGCAAAAATACAAAAAGAAAATACAAGCCGGGCACTAGTTACTTAGGGGGCTGAGATCTAAGGATCACAGTTTGAATCCAGTGTGGGCAGGAAAGTCCATGAGATTCTTGTCTCCAATTAGTCACCAGAAAAACAGAAATGAAACTGTGGCTCAAGGTGGTAAAGCACTTGAGCAGAAAAGCTCAGGGACAGTGCCTCAGGCCCTTAGTTCAAGCCTCTCAATCAACAAAAGGAAGGAAGGGAGGGAGGGAGGGAGGGAGAGAGAGAGAGAGAGAGAGAAAGAAAGAAAGGAAAAGAAAGAGAAAGGAAGAAAGAGAGAGAGAAAGAAAGAAAGGAAAAGAAAGAGAAAGGAAGGAAGAAAGAAAGAAAAAAATTAAATCATACAACTATAGACATCTTATCTTTTACAGAGGAGCTAAAAGCATACACTAGAAAAAAGACAGCCTCTTCAACAAATGGTATTGGGAAAACATGCAAGGAACTGAAACTAGACCACTAGCTCTCATTTTGTACTCAAAGTAAGACCTGAAACTAAATCTACTACAGGAAAACATAGGAAAAATTCTGAGAAAGAGAGAGAGAGAGAGGAAAGAAAGAAAGGAAAGAAAAGAAGGAAACACCCTCCTGAATGGGAGAAAATCTTCATGAGGCATTCAGCAGAGGGTAAATACACAAAGAGCTGAAACAGCTAGTGAGCAGATAACCCAGTGATCAACGTGCACTGAATTGAGCAGCCAGGCCCGAGAGAAGGAAGCACAAATGTGCAACAAACACATGAAGAAACGTTCGACTTCCTCAGCCATAAAGGAAAGGCAAATCAAAATTACACGAAGATCCCATCTCACCCCAGTCAGAATAGCAAACATCAAGAAACAAACAAAAAATACTGACAAGGATGGAAACAAAAGGAACACTGAAACACTGTTGGTGGTAATGTAAACTAGCATAACTGTTAGGAAAGTAAGTATGGAGGGAGGTTCATTTAAAAAAAAAAACTGAAAATAGCTGGGCACCAGTGACATGTGCCTTTAATCCAACTACTCAGAAGGCTAAGATCAGAGGATCACGGTTCAAAGCCCACCTAGGGAAAACACCCATAAGACTTACCTCCAATTAGCCACCAAAGAACCAGAAGTAGAGCTGTGGCTCAAGTAGTAAAGTGCTAGTCTTGAGCACCAAAGTTCAGGGAAAGCACCTAGGCTCTGAGTTCAAGCCCCAGTATAGGCACCAAAAATTAAAAATAAAAATAGATCTATCTGGGGCTGGGAATGTGGCTGAGCCCTGGGTTCAATTCCTCAGCACCACATAAGCAGAAAAGGCCAGAAGTGGTGCTGTGGCTCTAGTGGTAGAGCTCTAGCTTGAGCTGAAGCGCTGAGGGACAGCGCCCAGGCCCAGAGTTCAGGCCCCACAACCGGACCCCCAAAAAAAAAAAAAAAAATTAAAAAAAAAAAAGAAAGAAACTCCACTTTGCTGGGTGTTGGTGGCTCACACCTATAATCCTAACTACTCAGGAGGTTGAGATCTGAGGATCACGGTTCAAAGCCAGCTCAGGCAAGGAAGTCCGTGAGACTGTTATCTCCAATAAACCACCAGAAAACTGCAAGTGGCGCTGTAGCTCACTAGTGGTAGAGCACTAGCCTTGAGCTGAAGAGCTGAGGAACAGCGCACAGACCCAGAGTTCAAGCCCCATGACCGACAAAAAAAAAGAAAAAAAAGAAACTCCACTTTATATGATATATAGTCTTCTAAATATTTTTGGATTTGACTTGGTAAAATGTTCTTAAGAATACTAGGGATCAGAATAAATCTTTTTAGAGTTGTGGTATTAGAGTAATACTGCCACCAGAGGGAAAGGCAGGACATAGTTTCAGTTTTCTGAAGAGCTATCATGCCATAGGTCTTACTTCTCTAAAACCTTTGGTAGAATTCACCCTTGAGATCATCTGGACCTGGAACTTATTTATAAGAAAGTTTTTAAACTACAAAATAGGCCAGGAACTGGTGGCTCATGCCTATAATCCTAGCTATGTAGGAGGCTGAGATCTGAGGATCCTAGTTCAAAGCCAGCCTAGGTAGGAAAATCTGTGAGACTCTTATCTCTAATTAACTCACTAGTCTTGACCAAAAAAAGCTCAGAGGGCTGGGAAGGTGGCTCAGTGGTAGAGCGCTTGCCTTGCATGCATGAGGCACTGGGTTCGATTCCTCAGCACCACATAAGCAAAAAGAAAAAAAGCCGGAAGTGGCGCTGTGGCTCAAGTGGTAGAGTGCTAGCCTTGAGCTGAAGAGCTGAGGGACAGCGCCCAGGCCCAGAGTTCAGGCCCCATGACCGGACCTCCCCAAAAAAATTTTTTTTAAAAAAGCTCAGAAACAGTACCAAGGCCCAGAGTTCAAGCCTCACAACTGACAAATAACAATAATCTCTTCAATAGATTCCCTCTAATCAAATTATCAAAAAGATCTGAAAGCTTATGTCTTTCAAGGAATTTGCCCTATTCACCAAACTTGTCATATGTGTTACCTTAAATTATTAATGTTTCCTATTATCATCCTGATACATATAAACTATTGTGATACTACCTTTGTTATTCCTAACACCTTCATTATTCCTGAACACTTACCAATAGTATTCTTAATGTCAACCTGGTCCATGGTGCTAACTAGATAGACTGTTGCACTGCTATTCCTTTATAGTGTTTCACTGATATTCCTTGGAAAGAAACAGAGATAATGGGGTCTTTTAGAACATTTTCCCCCTCAAAGCTGTACTTAGAGATATCCAGATGATAGAATCCTATCCAAAGTACAGAATTTTTTTTTTTTTTTGTCGGTCGTGGGGCTTGAACTCTGGGCCTGGGCGCTGTCCTTCAGCTCTTCAGCTCAAGGCGAGCGCTCTACCACTTGAGCCACAGCGCCACTTCCGGTTTTCTGGTGGTTTATTGGAGATAGGAGTCTCACGGTCTCTCCTGCTCGGGCTGGCTTTGAACCGCGATCCTCAGATCTCAGCCTCCTGAGTAGCTAGGATTACAGGCGTGAGCCACCAGCTCCCGGCTCAAAGTACAGAATATTTTGAACAACAACCATACTAAAGAAGTCCAGGGTAGGGCTGGGAAGATGGCTCAGTGGTAGAGTGCTTGCCTTGCATGCCTGAGGCCCTGGGTTCGATTCCTCAGCACCACATATGCAAAATGAAAAAAGCCGGAAGTGGCGCTGTGGCTCAAGTGGTAGAGCACTAGCCTTGAGCTGAAGAGCTGAGGGGCAGCGCCCAGGCCCAGAGTTCAGGCCCCACAACCGGACCCCAAAAAAAAAACAAAGAAGTCCAGGGTATTCAAATTTTTTTTTCTTTCATGCGATTATTTCTAACACATTTATAAGATTATTTCTTTGTTGCTTTGTATGTCCCTCCCCCACAGTATAACCCCTGCTTTCACTGTATTTGATATCGGTATAATTTGTGGAGGGGAAGGGAAAAAAACAAATCGTTTAAATAGGGATACAGGTGGACCCATTGCAACAATGAGATGTACAAGTCGTTATGTCGAAAACGAACTTTACAACTTGGTGCAGGGGGGGGGGGGGTTGGGTGGGGGGGCTGGGGGAGGATGGGATGGGAAGGGGAAACAAAGGAGGAGGCTACAATGCTTGATAAGAAATGTACTCATTATCTTGCCCATATAATTGTAACCCCTCTGTACAGTATTTTCACAATAAAAAAAGAAGTCCAGGGGCTGGGAAGGTGGCTCAGTGGTAGACTGAAGTCCAGAGCGCAAGAGTAAGGGAGCATAACCTACCAGCCATGAGGACCCCAGGTTACCATTTGACCAGCATTTCTTGAAACTTTTTTATCTCAAAGTGAAAGGAAAGCGCCATGAGTGAGGCATAAGTAGAACAGCTGGATTTCCTTGCTGGCAAGTCGTCCATGGCCCACCTTGAGCTCTGTGAGGAGCAAGACTGCTCCAACCCGGGGGGACTTTGTTTATTGCCATGGCTGAAGGAAGTACTAGGAGCTGAAGTCATATTCTGTTCTGACCCAGTGACATCCACTGCTGTTACCCAGTACTCATGCTCTTCCTTTGTGTGTGTTCTAGGTTTTCTTTCTCAACTGGTCTCTGACAAGCCTCTGACTGAATGCATCCGGGCTGGCCACTATGCAGCAAGTGTCATAATTAGGCAAACGGGTTGCACTTTTCCTGAGAAGCCAGATTTCCACTGATGGAAGAGCACAAAACCCAGGCCTGGGAGAACAATGTCCTGGTTGCCTCCTGAGAATTTCCACATTAATGAAGAAAAAAATGTTTTCTGCCATCTTTTCCTACTATAATCTGGTCAGTCTTAATTTAGAGGGTACGGTAATGCTCTTAGAATCTTTAGCCTTTCTGCAACCTGAAATGTTGATTTCCAATGTCTTCTAGTGCCTCTTCAATGTCAATTAAACAGAAATATAACATTTCAATAGAATTTTTTTTTTTTTTTTTGTCAGTCATGGGGCTTGAACTCTGGGCCTGGACGCTGTCCCTCAGCTCTTCGGAGCTCTACCACTTGAGCCACAGAGCCTCTTACAGTTTTCTGAGTGGTTTATTGGAGATAAGAGTCTCATGATCTTTCCTGCCCTGACTGGCTTTGAACAGCCTCCTGAGTAGCTAGGATTACAGTTGTGAGCCACCAGCACCTGGCTCAAGAGAAATTTTAATTTCATTTTCAGTTACTTTGTAAATTCAAGTGTGTAAGTTGATCAGTTTTTTTACACTTCTGCTTTGAATGCAGATGCAATTTAATATGATAGACTTTTTAAAGAAATTAATCCTAATACATCAATCTTTAGCTTTTTATATAAATATATTTAATTTAGGAATGTGTGTATACACATACACACACATAAGTAAATACCACATATATACATGAAATAATGTACAAAATAATGTACAAAAATATTTATCGTGCCAAATTACTCCAAATAATCTTTTCAATGTGCACTCAAATATGTGATACACATTGGTAATTGAATAATTTGCCAAATATCATGTTATATTACAATATTCAAATTATGACCTTATGCTTACTTATGGTACTCTGTAAATTTGATACAAATAAAACTTTCTCCTATGGGATTGTTTTTTGTCTTTGTCCTGTACTTAATAAAACAAAAGAAAGAAGATGATTATACAGTACTAAGCCTTGATGTTGAACCCAGGAGTTCAAGGCCAGACAGCCTGGTCAACACAGCAAGGAAAAAGTAAACAAAACCCAAGAGCTTTTTGTAGCATGTTAGCTTTTGTCCCTGGCCCATCACCTACCCCCCCAGGAATACAAGAAACAAGAAAGTGTGGATTCATCTTGGGGGAAAGCACAGACATTCTAGTTACTAAACAAATACTTAAATCACTTGTTTTAATTTTGTTCAAACAGCTTTTAAAAACTGTTTAAAGAAGGGGAGCATGATATCTCAACAAGAGGAGGATGTAAGTGATGATATAGAAAATATCAGAGCTGGCTCACACTTGTAATCCTAGCTACTCAAGGACGCTGAGATCTGAGGATTGTGGTTGAAAGACAACCTGGCAGCAAAGTCCATGAGACTCTTCTCTCCAATTAATTATAGAAAAAGTTGCAAGTGGTGCTGTGGCTCAAGTAGCAGAGTGTTAGCTTTGGGGAAAAGGAGCTCAGCGACAGCAACCAGGCCCAGAGTTCAAGGCCTAGGACCAGCAAAATATATATGGGCACTGGTCACTGGTAGGTCATGTCTATAATCTTAGCTACTTAGGAGGCCAAAATCTGAGGATTGCAATTTGAAGCCAGCCTAGGCAAGAAGTCTGTGAGACTCATCTTCAGTTAACTACCAAAATGCCAGAACTAGAGCTGTGGATCAAGGCTAGAGCACTAGCCATGAGCAAAAAAAAGCCCAAGGACAATGCCCAGGCCCTGAGTTCAAGCCCCAAGACCAGCATAATTGATCAATCAATAAATAAAACTGAAAAAGGTTCTGGAAGTCCACTGCACTGGAAACTATCAAAAACACTGCTGAAGCCAGGTGCCTGTGATTCACATCTATAATCCTAGCTACTCAGGAGACTGACATCTGAGGATCATAGTTCAAAGCCAACCGAGACTAGAAAGTCCATGAGACTCTTTATCTCCAATTAACCACCAGAAAACCGGAAGTGGCACTGTAGCTCAGTGGTAGAGCACTTGCCTTGAGCTGAAGAGCTGAGGGACAGCGCCCAGGCCCAGAATTCAAGCCCCACAACCAACACAACAAAAGAAACAAGAAAAGAAAAAGAAAACTGCTGTGAAATTAAAGATATAAATATAAGACTTAATATTAAAATATAAATATCCCCATATTGATCTGTAGAAGTACAGATGTGGCTGGGAATATAACTTTAGTGATAGAGTACTTGCCTTGCATGCATGAAGCCCTGGGTTCGATTCCTCAGTACCACATAAACAGAAAAAGCCAGAAGTGGCCCTGTGGCTCAAGTGGTAGAGTGCTAGCCTTGAGCAAAAGAAGCTCAGGGGCAGTGCACAGGCCCTGAGTTCAAGCCCCAGGACTGGCAAAAAAAAGTGGAGATGTGGCTCAAGTGGTAGAATGCCAGCCATGAGAAAAAAGCCAATCAAGAGTGTAAAGCACTCACAAAAACAAAAATTTTTAAATCTAATTTTGCCAGTCCTGGGGCTTGTACTCAGAGCCTGGGCACTGTCCCTGAGCTGCTTTTGCTCAAGGTTAGTGCTCTACCACTTGAGTCACAGCACCATTCTGGCTTTTTCTGTTTATGTGGCACTGGGGAATTGAACCCAGGACTTCATGCATGCTAGGCAAGCACTCTACCACTAAGCCACATTCCCAGTCCAAAGCTTATGCTTATATGATAGTGTCAAAATTTATGTGATAGTGTCAAACTTTTTTCATGTGTGGGAATTCACATGTGAATTCTAAAACAAATGGACAGGACTTAGAGTAGCCAAACTTTACAAAAGAAGAGCTAAGTTAAAGGGTTTATATGACATGGTTGAGACTTTTTTCCTTCTATGTGTTGATACTCCATCTTGGACTCAGAACCTAGGTGCTATCCCTAGGTGCAGGGTTTGTTGTTGTTTTTTTGTTTTTTGTTGTTATTTTAAATCAAAGCTAGTACTTCTACCACTGAGTGGTTATGGCCCAGTACACATACACACACACACACACACACACACACACACACACACACACACACACACACACACACACACACACACACACACACACACACACACAAACTGAGGCACTTTCATAGATACCAAAGGCACTTCCTATTCATAAACATGTCTCTAGTGGACAAAAGTCTGGCAAGGTAGCAGCAGCCTTGGTGGTTGGTAACGGACAGCCTTACAGGGTCTAAGGCAGGTGACTTCTCAGGCTTCTGATCTTGATGATCTCTAAAGTCTATCCATTTCTAAAGTTCTGCTCTCCCATCATCCCATTCCATTCAACACTCACTGAGCATACTGTACTAGACCCTTTCCAGGTCAGGCCTACAAAGAAAATGGTCCATTGACCTAGTTAGAGCTCTAGCATCTCACTGTAAATGAATGAAAAGACAGGTTGGAAATGAGCTTGCACTTCTTGTTTTTGTCGGTCATGGGGCTTGAACTCTGGGCCTGGGCGCTGTCCCTCAGCTCTTCAGCTCAAGGCGAGCGCTCTACCACTTGAGCTATAGCGCCACTTCCGGTTTTCTGGTGGTTTATTGGAGATAGGAGTCTCACGGTCTCTCCTGCCCGGGCTGGCTTTGAACTGCGATCCTCAGATCTCAGCCTCCTGAGTAGCTAGGATTACAGGCGTGAGCCACCAGCGCCCGGCCCCTGCACTTCTTTTCCAGTTTGTGAATATCATGTGAAGATCCTCAGCACAAGGCGGTGTCCTCTACCTCTCATCTGGTTCACCATTTTCATTAACTGGGCAATATATGTGCCAGCACTCACCAAGCATACCTCACCATGTTGTCACTCCTTGCCCTGGAGAAACTGGCTTTGTTTCAAGGAGGGGCCTCTGGCCTTAGTATGTGGCAAAAATCCGCTTAAGGAAAACTGGCCATAAGGTAACTGCTTCATGTTATGAAGAACAGAGTAAAAGACTCAGCTAACTGCCAAATTAATTATCTTACCTTGTCATCTTACCTTACCTATCTTACCTTATCTTGTCATCTGGTCTCCTCCCTCCACCTTGTGAATTGTATACTTTTATCCCTTAGGTTTGTTTAAGTCAGGGTCACACAGTAATCCAAAAATGTTCGCTTGTGGAAGACCAACAGCCAAGTCCATCTGGTCCATTTTCATCAGAAGATACTGCTAGCGTGTCAGCTCAAGAGCTCCCACCAACAAGGCCAAATGCCAGTGCAGAGAAACCCTCCAAGCCGATCAGCATTATATCTCACCCCTAAACATGGCTTTGAAATGCAGGTTTAGACAGCATGTGAACTGCTGGTGAATAATTGCTTCAACAGGATCAGCTCAGTAAGGGCCAAAGGAGTAAACATGATTGTCCATGTGAATAAAACGCAAGGGTTGTGTATAGATGAGACCCATTAAGGGTTTACTGTCAGCAGCACAGTCAGGAGGAGACTCTTTCCTTGCTCAAGTGTGAAAGCCCGTCTATAAACAGCTTTAACAGCTCTGTGGTGCCAGACAATTGCACCATTGAAAGACAAGCCTGCAAGTGCTCCCTACTTCCAGGGATTACTCCGTGCGTCTCAGAAGTAGGGTGCTTTGTCCTGTTTCTCCTTTATGTGAGTAAATGTCCTTTTCTTAGAGGCGCCCCTGTTCCTACTCTCAGTGCCTTGCTGCTATTGTTTAGCTGCTATTAGAATTGAGAAAACCAAGGCAGAGGGAAATAGCCATATAGGAGCCCATTCCAAGGCACAGGAGATCCGGGCTATACCTCTCTCCACAAATTGCGCTGGGCCACAGAGCTATTACTCTGCAGGATGGTCTGGGGGTATGTTTTTTGTTTTTGTGTTTATGTTTGTTTGCCAGTCCTGGGGCTTGAACTCAGGCCCTGGCCACAAGCTGCTCTTTGTTCAAGGATATCACTCTACCACGTGAGCCATAGGGCCACTTCTATCTTTTTGTGTTTATGTTGGTACTAGGGAATCGAACGCAGGGCTTCATGCATGTTAGGCAAGCACTCTACTGCTAAGCCACATGCCCAGCCCTAGGATTTTTTTTCTTTTCTCCTTTATTTCTGGGAGGCAATAAATCCATCCAGAAAACCAGGGTAAACCACATAATCCAAAGGTGTCTCCCGAACCCTATCATGTTCAGAGCCCTGGGGAAGGAGCTTTGCTGGAAAGCCAGTCGTGTTCTCCTGGAGCCCTACTTCCAGGAGGCAATCAGGTAACGAACAAACAAATACACAGAAATGCCAGGCGCTGGTGGCTCATGACTGTAATCCTAGCTATTCAGGAAACTGAGATCTGAGGATCAAGGTTC